TCGGCAAGGGACCGATAGCTCGGCGGGTTGGTTTGCCCTGCAGATGGGACATCTCTATTCAGCACCTGCTTGCCTCAGTGTGCACCTCACCTTTTCCATAAAAACCTCACGGCAACCTCAAGTGTTTTTCACACAAGATCCAAACGGTGGTAAGAGAATGAAGCAGAGTCTGAAGCAGACCTTTTCCACAAGCAGCACATGGATACTAGCTCCACGCAGCCTCCAACTGCTCTGACTGCTACAATAGTTTGGTGACGGTGGAGGTGCTGCCTATTGAGACGCAGCTTTTTGAAGCCAGTCAGAGCCACTTGCACCTCACTGAACTCTCAGGTCAAGGAACCCTGCACCCTCTTTTCCATCACCAACCTTTTTCCTTAGGTCAGAGGTCACAGGAGTGGCCGCTCAACCCAAAAGCTTGAGAAGTTCTGCTGTTTTTGAAACCAATTTTTGCAGTTGGACATTAGAACACTTGAGGCACTTAAGACCCGAAACTTGTGTTTATTGCTTATTCACTATCATAATTTCTCATTCAGACCAAATCATTACAACAAAGCTCCAGCAACCAACCAGTAAAGGCGGCTGTGAACACTGAGCAGCTGAAGCGTCTTGCCAGTCACACGGGATATGGTCACTCAGTACAGGAGATACAGGATGCGAATGTGCTCCACAGCTGCTTTATCAACTATGGATAGGACTGAAATCCTAGACCAAGTTCAACTAAAACTAAATCAATAAAAAGCTAAGTGATGCTAAAGGATTCACAGTGAACAGATGAAGAAATTTTTTTTTTACTGCCAAAGCAAACCATCAGCTCTTATCAGCAAATCATCAGATGACCAGGCTTTGATAAGCCGGGATGTGTAGAGAACTGACAGAGTGTACTGACCCGTGGTGTGAACACAAGTCACTCACTCACTCACACACTCACACACTCACACACACCCTTTGGTAACAGGAGTGCTGGTGTCTTTCTGTCCATCAACACTAAGCTTTGACTTCAATTCTAGTTCCTGTCTGTCGGGAACATGGTGGCATCCCGACGGTCTCTGTTACACAGTCTGTAGAGTCACAGTTATCAGAACAGCTGCTCCTAACAAAAAACAAAATAAAACGCACAGACATTTATCCCAAATCCGTGTGGAGACATCAGCATTGCACTACAATGCATTTGAATACACGGATATTGCCGTGAAAGTCAAGCAATGCTAACAAACTATTAGAGGGCTCTGGGAGGTCTTTGCAAAGAAAATACATTTTTTAAAGAAAATACATTTATTGGCTTGTGAAAAAAATTTATTTATATATTTTTAAATATTAATGTGACTGAATTAATAAAATATTTTACACTATTTCACTTTTAATCTGAAAAATGTTACAACGTGTTACAAAAGCCTTGAAATAAATATGGTCTAGTACACCCCATGCCGCCCTTTAGACTCACCCCTGTCTGCTGCGGTATGGCTATATGCCTGCAGCAGGCTGTATCATTGAAACATGTATCAGACTGAATTAATAGTTCATCTGCATATTTTAATACAACTTCTGTAGATATACTGCAGATTTATCTCAGTGTAAAACGAACAGTCTTTACATATGGAGTTTGTTGATCGGGTGCTTTGATGAAGGGCTCCTGCGAGCTTTTTCCCAGTCAAGGTTTGAATGGTGGTTACAGGAACAGCGCTGCTGTTTTGGATGCTACAAATAAGTTTTTTACTCATCGTGAGCTCCCGTCTCGGTAACGGCTCCGCCTCTTGTGTGTTTCTGTTTAAAACTAGAGGCTTAATGTTTTCAGACTTTATTTTCACACGCTGCTCTTAAATGCGTTTGCATTGCAGGTCTGTTTTTAATCGCAGATGGGGGTGAAACGCTCGTGTTCTTGTTTCCATGGTAACAACGGCGCGCTACAGAGCCGTGCATTAATCGAAGCAAAGACTTTTTTGGAGAATTTTTCGAATTACTCGATAAATTATATTCCAATTCAAGAAATTCCTTTGTGTAAAAAAATAAATAAATTTAAAAGCACTACTATAAGCACACAGTGCACAAGTCCACTGAACAGCAGTTTGACTTTCTCACACACAGGTACCATATCTACATCCTTTCTGCTGCCGCTTTGACTTATCAACATGGGCTGCAGGCTATACTCCAAACATGACTTGTTGGTGTTGTTCACCCCCCTCCCCACAAACACACAAACTTCCATCCAGTATGCTCAAGTTCCTCACTTTCCCCTTAAAGAGTATGTTTGCCTGTAGACAGAGGTGAGAGTTACGTAATTGTGGAACTGATTTATCGGATGCAAGTCAAAGGAAACCTGCCCTTTTTCACCCACAGCTTTTTGGAGGAAATGTACAAACAATGGGTCAGTCTCAAAAATAAAGGTTTGCTGAACAAACCTACCCAAAGACGCCTCGATATGAAAATGAATAAATGACACAAAGAGCTTGGAACAAACTAAACAAAAAACAAAACGCGTTTTACACACTAAGGTACGGCCCAGAGCAAGTGAAAACCGGCTGGCCAGGCTGAGGCCCACACCACTGTGTTCAATGAGGAGCAGCTGGAAGAGGAGCCCTCGGGGCAGGGATGAGTCCTGACGAAACACAAATATTCCATCAGGGCCGTGAATGCTCCACAGCCCCCTGACTGAAGCTGAAATGACACGCATTATATTATGAGTGGACACAGCTACCGGTGTGATCAACGCTAATAACGCTGCTATTTTCCCCGTCAGTCCACACAGTTTAACAGCAGCAGGCTTACAGGCCTCACATTCCCTCCCTCCACCAACAAAGCTGCTTTCTCCTATTCACCATCGCTGCAACTGAACTCTGTGAAAAACAGCCACTTTTAGGCCCTTTCCCTAATCCAGCAGACTGAAGCAAGACACCATCTACTTTACATCTAAACCTGAGCACACACTCAAAACAAAATCACCCCCAGAAAACAACACACGCACACTCCTGATGGCGACTTCTACGAGTGTGTTACCGCTTTTAAAAATGCACTCCAGATGAAACATGACAATTAGGAGTTTCACAGCAGTCCTCTCTCGCTCACACACACACTTTAAAGTACAGTTTCCGCATTTAAAGGATTAGAGGGCCAGCTCCACATTTCGGGACACACGACACATGTGAAGCTACTTTATTAATGTATGCTTTTATTCGTTTTTTAAATTTTAACTGTTTCACGTGAACGACTGCCTGGCAAGATAAACCAGAATGGGCGTGAGCCTCTAACCTGTGTGCTCTGGTTACTTCTCACCGCTCATGTATCCTATACACATCACCAACAACCTTCCAAAACGTCCCCGAGCAGAGCCTCAGCGGGTAACCGGGTTGCGCTTCAGTGCGGCCGTGATGTGGGACTTTGGAAAAGAGAGGTAGGTGCCCGCAGAGCACGGCCCACCGTGAGCTAACAGCACAGCTAACTGTGCTAGCCTCGCTTCCTGCTCCCAGCACAAAACTCACTTCTGCGACTACTCCGCGACAGCAGGAGCGCTCCCAGCACACTACAGCGCCTCCGACAAACCCCGGTGCTCCCGGGTTTCCATGAAAGAGCAGAAACGACATTTAAGCGGAGTGTCACCGTGAGACTGTGGAATAACTCACCCGTCCATTGCACAACACGGAACTACAGAGCAACAGGTCCCAACAGCAGCCAACAGGGACCCCGAGCACCGCCGCTTTAAACGGACAAGATGGCGTCCGTCGTGAGGACTCGCTGATTGGACGGCTCGCAAAACTGGTGGGCGTTCATGGGCAAAATCGTACGTTGATTGGCTGGTTGGACCCAAAATACAACAACAAAGAAGAGCTATTCCAGCGAAGATTTGCTATGAGTAAGATACACGCATTCACGGGAAAAAACGGATACACGTTTTACTCTGTGAAAGTGGGCGTTGTCCCGACAAAACAAACTGATTATATGTCTGAAAGGGCACCTGAACACTTTTATATTTGATTTTGAATCTGCAACATTAATGACAAAACACTAAAAAACATCTTGAGTATACTGACCAGAAAACGGGGGGGGGGGAGATTTAGAAGATTTAGCTTGTATGTGACAGTGAATTTTATTGTGTGGTGTAAATCACAGTTCATTCTGTTCATTCGACAATAAAACCTCTTACCTTTAAACCTGGGGAAAAGGGGGATGCTTTGTATAGTAGTAACCCTGTCTTTTCCGTGCAAGCAAGGCTAGCAGTGCTTGCCCTGTGAAATCTGAAAATACATCAATTACAAAGTACCAGAGTCCAAGATCAAGACGATTAAAAGAAAAAAATAACAATAAAAGACAGGAAGCACAAAGTAATGGAAATATATATTTTAAGTTGGTCCGGTTTGACTTTTTAAATTGTGTGGAATAATGTGTTTCACTGTCCCCAAGACATGATAACAAAGCCCAGAAGTGCAGGAACTTGGTGGTATCCAACTTTAATCAACCTATTTCTGCGCTTCACACAGGAGCCTGTTGAACTGGTGTCATATAACAGGTTGATAAATAATTCCTCCATGTGCTGCTTTCCAGGAAACTACTTGTGTGCTTGAAAATGATACAGCTGAACACACAAATAATTCAACAGATTCTCATACATAGATCATGTGTTTTTAAACGGAGACCACCTGGCTGGCTCAGACTTTTCTCTGGTAGCCCATGCTTTTTGCTGGTCAAGTAAACTTAAAGAGGTTGACAGAAATAAAAATTTTTAAAAAATCACTAACTCATCCACATTTTAAAGCGGGTGTAAAGAACTGTAATCTCCACATTTCAGCTTTCTTTCTTTTCTTTTCTTTTTCAAAATAGAGTTACGACCTTAACCTCGAAATGTTGAATAATATTTTTTCCTTATGTGGCCCTAATACAGAGGAATGGAAGACAGAAAAAAATACGTGTGTGAATGAAGGAGCAGAGGTAGTGAAGGTGGATACCTCGCGCTGGCCATTTAAAGAAACAGCGCACGAGCGAGGTGAAGAAGAGACTGCAGGCAGGTGGAGTGGGTGGAGACGAGTGTTGATCTGTGACAGAGGGATAGCAGCAAGAAAGAAAGGGAAGGTTTACAAGATGGTAGTGAGACCTGCAATGATGTATTGTTTGGACATAGTGGCACTGACACAAATACAGGAGGCAGAGCTGAAGACTTTCAGATCTTCATTACGAGTGAGCAGGGTGGACAGGGTTAGAATTAGAAGAAGAAGAAGAAGAAGAAGAAGAAGCGGCACGCCATTGGCCAGAGTGGCTGCAGCGGAACTTGCTATTGGCTGATTCTGTTGCCCCGCCAGTCGAGTCGGGAAACAGCGCCATAATTAAACTGTAGCCGACCTGTGTTTTCTGCGGATTGTTTGCGGCCTGATTTACTAAGATAGTAACAGACAAAAAATTTGTTCCAGGACGGTTGGAACTTTTTTAATCTTTCAGTGACCTTCCCAAAGAGTTTAGTTTTGTTACGTTAGGCAGGTAGCAAGGGCGCTAATATGGCCCGATCGCTAGGCTAACGCAAATACCCCAGCAGTCGGTAACAGCAGGCTCAATTTAGCGCTCACAGTCTCTTCCTTCAGCGACAACAGCGATGAACTACCCGCGAAGCCTCCAGGGTCTGCCGTGTGAAATGTTCCAGGAGACTGCGAGAGCACGGTGAGTTAATGTTAGCACACAGCTAGTCGTCATTAAGCTGCTCCGTTACAGGGCCCGTTCCTTTGACAGCAGGTAATAGTTTAATAACCCACCCCCATCTCCCAAAAACGACAAGAGAAATGAAAGCTGTCTGTTCAGCAGTGGTTTGATCTGTTATGGATTATATCACAGGCTGTGAACCTCGCGTGTTCCCCTTTATGACAGCAGCGAAGGAGGTGATCAGATTCTGAGCTGGAAGAAGGTTGTAACTTTCGTGTTGACTTGACTTGGCTTGGTAACGACAACAAACAATCTTCCTTCCAGGCCAAAACACTGCTGAAAACCCAGTCTCTAGTTTCCTCTGGACTTCTTTTCCCCAAGCCTCAATCAGCATGGATGCCATTCTCCCATTCCCATTTGGGCAACTCTAGGAGTATGAATGTTAAATAGAAAGCACTTAGGTAGAAAAATGGTGATTGAGGCAAGTTGTATAAGGTCCTTTGAGGGCTACTCAGAGTAGAAAAGCGCTATGTAATTTACCATCTAGATATCTCTTTATAAACTGAACTGGTCTGTGAGTTTCCGTGAGCTATAGCTAGCCTAGATTTAACAGTGAATTGAATAAGCTCTTTAAAAACTTTATGTCAACATCGGTGAAGATGACCAGAATTTACTTTGACACTTGGACTCTGAATACAAAAAATAAAATTTCTTGTCATCCTTGTATTTTAGTCATTCTTTAATGATTAGGTTTTTGTGACTTGATTAAAATGTGAATCATTTTGTTATGAAATATAACAAAGCTGTTTTTGAAGTGTCCCCATCTTATCTCTTGTGGTGTACAGGAACTCAGTGAACCCTCGGACACCACTGAGTTTCCCTAAATCCAGATCAGCTCTGTGGGACAGCAGCCCCATGGGCGAGAAGCTCCGCCTTCACCTCAGCTCACACAGGTAACTGCTTCCTTGCTGATCAATAGAACTGGTTGTGCACTGTTGTAGTGAGAGCACATTGTAGCTGAGATCTAGACTCACTGCTTGTGGTCTGCTAATGTGTGCAAAAGTCTGCTGAAGGAAAAGACTGCATACTAAGTTATTAAGAATGGATACTTTTCACATTTGAGTGAAAATAAGGAAAATAAGATGCTTTTTTTTAAACCACGTAGAGCAATAAAAACATGACAGACTTTTACACTTTATATTTTATTCACTGAATCAATAACAAATTTAACCTACTATAATCTTGTCATACTTAAATGACAACAGATGAGGTATGTGTCTCTGCAGGAAGCCTCAGTTGGTGCTATTAGAGAAAACTCTTCGTCTGGCGCATCGTCACACCCGTCGCAGTAACAAGCCCCACCTCCACTGTTTCTTATTGGGAACGGTTTCTGTCGATTCAGGTCAGAGGTTAACTTCAGCTCATCCTGAATGCTGATTCAGCTCTTTTATAAATGTGTCTGTGGCATTGAGCACCTTAGTCCAGCTGTCTGTCCTCTGTGTGTTGCTGTGGTTCAGATGAGGAGGGCATCACAATCACCCTAGATCGCTTCGACCCGGGTCGGGATCAGGCCGGAGCCTCGGGTCAGGTTCCCTCTGCTCCTCTGCCTGGAGACGTCCTGGTTCCCTGTTTATTCTCCTCTCAGACTGAGACTGTCGTCCAATCAGAGGCCGAGCTCCATCACTGCTTCAAGGTGAGTTTGTTACCCTTCAGCCCTTCCGCTGAAACGGCCACTTGAAACTGCTTAAAGATTACACAGACAAAACATTTCCCAGCGAATGCAGCACATGATCAACTCTTCTTACTACAATGATCTTGGCATATGCATGCTTAGACTGACACAGATGTGGTTTTAGGTGGAGCACAGCAGCTGCTGGTGTTCAATTCAGCTGTTCTTGTGATTTGGCTGAATTACAAGAACAGTTGCCTTAAGACACTTTATATTGTAAGGTAAAGACTCAACAATAATACAAAACTGTGTTGACTGTGTGTTGGTGTTTTAGGTGTTGCAGCAGTTTGTGAGCAGCCGACAGACTCTAGATCTGTCTCAGCTGCTAAAGGTCAAAGGGCATGTGGCCTGCTGTGAGCAGAGTGATGCTGCAACGTTTACCCTCAGCTGGTCAATCATCAGTCCGTCTGTCAGCGTGGAAGTGGAGCCGGTCAGAAGTGTCCCCATCATCCCGACTGCTCTGTTCAGGAGTCTAACCAACGTAAGCAGACCACTGGGGCGTGACAGCAGCCGACAGAGAGGGTGAGAGAGCGAGAGTTCATCACCACATGTCTCGGCCTCTGATCACGTTTGCTGACGTCTCAGTTCTCTTTTCAGGTTTCTGACCATGGACCAGACCAGGAAGTTGCTCCTGCTGCTTGAGTCTGATCCGAAAGCCTCCAGCCTGCCGCTGGTCGGACTGTAAGCTTCACCTTTCATCAGACAAGCCTGGGGGGGGGAAAGTCCGAATTATCACCTGGTAGTTCTTTTGGGATGTGATTAGCACTGATGTATGAGTTCTTTTAAAAATTGTTCACATTTTAAGAAATTCTGATTTTAATTTTCTAATTATTAATGAGAGGCACTTGTATTTTTTATGAAATGTTCTACTCTGAGTAGGAGTACCGAGAAAAAATGATGTGAAAGATTTTTTTTTTAGATGAATTCTAACAGTCCAGATGTAAGCCCAGATGTTTTTGCTTCTCTTAAGTGGGGGTATTTCTTTCTGCTTCCTGTCTCGTGACAGCTGGCTGAGTGGAGTCACACACATCTACAACCCTCAGGTGTGGGCCTGGTGTCTGAGATTCATGTTCAGCTCCACCCTCCAGGACAGGTGAGGTGACGGTGGCAGAAAGGAGTGGATTGGACGTGTTCGCGTGTCTGATCGGCTGTGCTGTGTTTCAGAGTGCTGTCCGACGGTGGCTTCTTCCTCCTCGTTGTGTTCGGTTGCGCTCGCAGAGCTCCTCAGTTCTTCCGCTGTCGAGGCTCAGGACCACAGCTGGACTGCCAGCTGCTGACGGCTTCACACACAGCCACTCTCTACCAGGTAACACAGCACCTGTTTTAAACTCTTTCTCCTCCTCCTCAGTCATTCACTCATGATCAGCTGTGCTGTGTATGCTCAGCAGGCAGTGCAGGTGGATGGGAAGACTCTGCAGGTGGAGCTGACTTCAGAGGATCACAGCAGAAAGTTGGAGGTCTTCAGAGAAGCTCAGATCTCTTTCAGCAGGCAGGCCAATGAACTAGTTAGTACTTGTCAGACAATTAGTAGTGGTGACTAAAAAGTGTGTTAATGCTCGTGTGCTGATTTGTTTGTGCCCTCAGAGCGCCTCCACCCTCCGCTGCCCTTTCTGTCACTGATCAGGACTCTGGAGTTGAGGATGATGATCTTTCTCCACGGCCGTCCCCGAGCCCTCATACTCCAGCTCACCAGGTCAGTCACAGAATGGGCTCGGGTCAACGCTTCCGTTAACACACTCTGGGGTGGTTTGGGTGGTGTGGAGATGTTTTTCTCAGATGTGGAAAATGTTACGTGTGTGAGATGTGAGGTCTGACCGTTCTGCGGATGTGCTGATTTAACATTAGTTTTCCCAGCCCTTAGGCTGTCTCAGGCTCAGATGTTGGGAATATTTTACTTTTGTGCGTCACGCAACTTGCAAATCCAGTGTTTCATGTTCATCTCCTTTTTCCCAGCCTTGTTAATAGAAATCCACAACATTTGATTCAAATGTGGGTGTACACTTTATATGATACTTTTTTGGTGCCCACTCCTGCTTGCTGACAAAACAACATTCTTCCTCTTCCTCCTCTCTGGTTGGGGTTAGTAAATGGTTAGTGCATGTTGATGTTGCTGATTATGTAGTAGCAACTTTGTGCTAGGTGGGTTTTTTTTTGTGGTCTTTGTTTTTAATGTGGTGTAAATAAAGTTGTGTTAAAAGCCAAAAGTGTGTGTGTGTGTGTGTGTGTGTGTGTGTGTGTCCCTGCAGTAATCTGTTGTTCCTTTCAGGCTCGGCGGGTGGAGCCATCTGTTCCCGAGCTCTCTCTGCTGATTGACTCCAGCTTCACCTGCACTCAGCCCAATCCTGCCTCTGCCTGCAAGCCTCCAGCTCATCCACGTGGAAACTCCTCTTCAGCCCCTAGAACTCCTCCTTATCTTCAAAGCACCCCCAACCCCAACTCCAACCCACAGCAGCCCTGCAACTGCTGCTCTAACCATCCCTACAACTGTACCGCCATTATCGCCTCCCCAGGTCTCCCTCCTGCTGCTTCACCTGTGTCCCATCATAATGATCCTTCTGCTTCTAGTCTCATCCATGCTCCTCCTCCTCCTCCTCCTCCTAGCAACCATCCATCTCTTTCTGTACCTCCTGCCCCCACCACTCGGTCTGTTCCTCCATCATTCACTTGCCCTGCCCCCTCTCCATCTCATCAACATGTTTCACCTCCACACTCCTCCAGCCACCCAGCTCCCCTCAACCCTGATATCTCTACTCCCCTCTCCACCCACCACCACGCTCCTCCCTGCACACTTGTCCGCCCTCCTACTCCTTCCTTCCCGTGCAGACCCCCAGCCTCCTTCCCACACTCCTATGCAGCAGCAGACCCTGTGCCCTCGCCCTGGCTTTCCCAACCCTCCTGTATGAATCAATGCTGTTATCAGGCGAGTAGAGTTGTACCACCAGACACCTACCAGCTCCTCCTCCATCAGGAGCACCAGCTGCGCCTGCTGCAGGCTCAGGTAACAGTTGTACTCTTTCCACACAACACAACCAGAATATATACGTCATGAACAAGAACAAGGACTTATCATTGGCACACAGGGAACCAGGAAGAGGCCTGAAACTGGAACTGTGGCTGTATTTAAAGGCTTCTGTGGATAGTATTGCTGGCTAGTTTCAACAAGTACTGTTTAACGTGGCTGCATCCTTGCTGCAGTTAATATTTTCTGATAATCGGGCAGGTCCAGATGCTCCTGGAGGCTCAGAAGAAGCTTCAGTCCTCTAACCAGTCCCCAGGCGACATACACACACCCATGAATGTGGCCAGCATCGCCGTAGAGACAGGTGAGTGTTTACTGAGCAGTCAAATCACCAGGAAGAGGCTTATAGCTCACATCATCACCATTTTTCCCCATCACTCTTTTTCCAGGTGCTAGTCTGTTCTGGGGGAGTCCTGCACAGTCCACCTCACATCAGGAAGAGCAGGTGCACCCTCCCTCCTCTACTGGGCCCCCGTCTACACCCAAGCCTCCACCTTCATCTTCCTCCTCTAGCCCCTCAAACTCTTCATCATCACTCATCAGGCCTGCGGGTAGTGCTGACAGTGACAGAGGTCATTCAGCTCCCTGCTCCCCACCTGGTGTGCACAGGTGAGACCAGGTGCCATTTAAAGAAACAAATTATTTCCAGCTCAAATTTCTCTGTACTGCAGAAGTACTGACAACCTCGTGCAACTGAGATAAATCCACTCAGTTAATGAGTCTTAACTTCTGCTTTCATGGTTTTCTTTTTGTAAATTGATGGTTTGATTTGCAGTGACACTGAATAAACCTGTGGTGCTACTAAAGTTTAGCGAAAAGTTAAACCGCTGTTGTGGAGCTATCTCACCAATGCCTTTGCTCTTTTCCACATCAGCAGTCCAGTTCTGGGAGAAAGTCTCAGCATGTACAAACCAACAGAGGAACAGCACACCTTCTACCACAACCTCATGGTGAGACAAAATAGTATCTGCAAACCTGTTTGATACCCGGTCTAATAAAAGGTAACAGTTTGACTCTGCAGTCAGAATGATAGGAATAGACCCTTCCTTTCCAGAAAGCACTGCATGAATCTCTTTGTGACTGGGTGAATGAGACTTTTGGTAAAAAGCGCTTTAACTGCTGAGCTGAGTAGAATGGCGTTACAGAAGAAAAACGTGTTCACCTGTTGAATCCAGAAAAGGGTTAAGCCTCCAGAGTCAGAGAGAAGCCATGTTGCAGAAATTTTTCAAACCAATATCACAGCAAAACGTGTAATAGAGACTGTGTCCACTTTCACCCTTTGCCTTCCTAAAACGTTAAATAGACATGCACGCAGAAGTTTCATTACCAGCAGGGAGAGATAATGTATTTAAAGTGTGCTTTAATGCACAGGTACACAGCAGCACAGGTACGAATGCTCTAGGCTGCATATACTTTGCACTGCCCACTGCTGGGGAAGCGTTGCCAGTCATTGATGTAGGGCAGCGTTTTGGATTCATCGTACAGAATTCCTTGATTTTTTTTTTTTCCTCCTCCTGATGAAAACATATGTCAAACATTAACAGAAAAAAACCCCACAAGGATCAATCAAAGGACATCACTGTTCAGTAAAAGTAACCTAAAACACAAAGATTGTGTATCATTACATTTAATTCCAAATTGAACTACTTTTTTTTTCCTTTCCATTGGTCAGTATTATTAACACAGGGTTCATTTGTTCTCTGGGTACAAAGGACAGAACTGTGCATGTCATATAAAGATAATTACTTTTGCTCTGTGTCTCAGACGCAACTCACCAGTCGTCTTCAGGAGTCACCTAGCAAACAGGAAGTGGAGGACGAATCCAGGAGGACGAGGAGTCTGTCAGCAGTTTCTGATTGTTCTCAGTCCTTCCAGTCCATGTCGTCCTCTTCATCCAGCAAGAAGCAGCAGCAGCAGCAGAGTCCAGTAGAAGACCCGGTGGTCAGTGCTACACTGCGGCAGCTGCAGCAGCTCGGAGTCCACGTGGACGAAGACGTTCTGACAGAGTCTGGCAAAAACCATCGGAAAGCTGTGGAAACTGCCAGGTACTGAAATGCCTCACACACGGATATCTGTGTGCGCCACCCTTAAACATGAAAGTAATACTCATCTAGAGCTGCAGGCTCCTACTGCAGCCTGCTCAACTGTACTACAGACTGCCGCTTGAACTTAGGTACAGGTTCATGAATCCAGATTTCAGTGAAGTTTTCTCTGGTCCCCAATCAGACCAGGAGTGACATGTTTAGCCGCTCGTTCTCCTGGAATTGCTAATTCTCTGAGTGGTGTATGGAAAAAATGTCTGCTTCACAGATAATTGGGAAGTTTCCAGGAAAAACCTGATCTTGTTTGGAGAGATGGCATTCATCCCACTTTGGATGAAGCTGCTCTCATTTCTAGAAATCTGTCTAAATTTATTAAACCCCCCCTAAAATGTGACTATTCAGTGTTGGGACCAGGAAACAGAGTTTCAGTCTTATACGCCTCTCTGCAGCTTCTTTCCTCCTGATTATTAAAACCAAATATATCACAAAGAACAATATGACATCGTCAACTGCAAAAAAAGAGTAAAATGATGAAATGTGGATTAATAAACATTAGGTCTCTTTTCGATGTTAGTAAATAACTATTGTAGGTGAGTTTTTCTTTCTTTTTTTTTTAAATGTCCATGTAAATGTTGAAAATGTCTGCCTCAGCATGGCATTTATTCTCTTATTAGACTCAGCTTCTCTCGAAATTTAAGTGATCTCACCACTTGAATCACATGGTCCATCTTGTTCTGATGTATGGCCTAGAAACTGAACATTTAACAATATTCCTTGAAAGCGCTGTTTTATTTTTCTTCTAAAGATTTTCTGGTCAAATTGAATTTTACAGTAATGCATTACAAAGCAGTGGGGAATAAACTGAATTGCAGTAGATATCTTTCTGAAAGCTCTGTGTCATTTTAGGGATATGATTACTTTTTTACTGTTATGTTCTTAAACGCCATGTGCAGAACAGCTACCTAAACTCTACTCCCACTGAGGTTGATTGGCTTTTTTACAGTGTTACATTCATCACTACATACAACTCTGGACACGCTGTGTACTCTGAAATTGAAGGCAACAAATCAGAGATGCCTGACTCCCCTGTGTAACTCTCAAATGCACAGCCTAAATCAGATAAGACACAAGTTATCGAGGAATTTGCATTTCACTAAGGTAGATGAAAGGTCTGCGTTATCTTAACTATGCTGCTACACTTTATCCTGTCAGTGTTGGAATGTAATGCATCTGCACAACAAGTTTATAGCCGATGCCATGACTGTTTTTCTCTCTGTGTACTGTCAGCACTCTGGCCAGCATCAACCCGGCAGCAGTACTTTCTAGACTGAGTGTTTCTGAGCCGACAGCCAGCGCTCTGTGTCCAGGAGGCAGCGTGGATCTGAGCCTGGAGGCCAACGCCATTGCCCTGCACTACTTGAGTGACTCTCAGCTCAGCAGGCTGTCCTTGGGAGGCCACATTCCTCATTCTAGTCTCACTCCCTCCTCCACTAGTGATTCTCTGCCATCACCTAGTAACATGTCTCTGGCCACCAGAAAGTACATGAGAAAGTATGGGTTGATCGAGGAAGAGGATGGTGAAGATGAGGTGGAGCAAAAGGAGGTGGGAGTTCAGGAGACATCAGATCGTGAGCCCCTGACAGAAGCTGTGAATGCGAGGTTCCTCCCACAGAGTCAGCTGATCCAGGATCTGCGCCCCAAAATGCAGCTATTAGCCAACCACACTGAACCACATACCAGTGACAAAAAGAACCATTCCAACAGGCAGCCATCTTTTGTCAGGGCAAACCTCCGTCAGACAGAGGGATCACTGGGAAACATCCTGGACCTGAGCCGCCTGAGACAGCTGCCCAAACTCTTCTGATGCCCACATCACCAGTAAAGCAACCCCATATTGAACTGTAATATGCACTAAGCTTTTATAGATAGTTGAAGCCTGGTGTGTCCTAGGTACTCTCAGCTGGTCTGATAGACGTCCTGGTTTCCATGGACACTGGCTGTCACTGGAAATTTGCCGTCTTTAGTCCTAGCAATTCTCTGGGATGCAGAAAAGTGCTGGAGGCTAAACTATTTAAGATAGCTGCCCAAACTCTTATGACACCGTGTAAACCAGACTAAACAAACCTCTTAAACTTTAAGTGGAATTTGCTTTGCTCAAGGAGCTCAGGACTGTTGCTAATACGATTTTATTTTCTTTTTTTTTACTGGAAACCTGGTTTCTTTTTAAAAACCATTAAAGTTTGAATGGTGTGCTCAGTGTGTTAATGAACTAATAGTCTATTGAGTTGGTCAGATTTGTGTGTTTGATGGACTTTTTGTGTCATATTTTCCTCTTCTGTAAAATGTCTCATGAACAATTTGTTTTAGTATTTATGAATCCACAAATAAAGTTTTCCCAGGAAATTCTATTAAAACTGCAGCGGATGGTGTTGCTTACTTCAGACGTCATCTGGAAATGTACTGTGTTAGAAATGAGTATTTCCACACCCACCAGAGCTTCAGAACCAGAACTCTGTCCGTGCCGGAGCCAAGGAAACGTGATCGTTCTAGAAAAGGTTTTTGTTTTGTTAAACTAACGATCACCTAGTAAACATTAGCTATGGCATTACTCCACATAAATAGTAGTCAGCATGTTCGTTACTTGATATGGAGTTTTCTAACTCCTAGCTTCATCTTTTACAAAGTTCCTCATTACTGTAATGCATTTAATTCAACCTGCTGCCTTCAGTTACAATCTTGTCACTTAGTGGTGCCCCGTGAAGCTTTGCAGTCTCTCTGATCGTCTCCTGGTGACTCTGTTGGCTGTCATCTCCCGGCTTGCAGCCAACCCCTCTTCTGTCTCACCTCTGCGGTATCATGTACAGCAGGTCCATTTAGTTTCTCCAGATGAATCAGGATCCCCTTTTCTTTAAATCCTCTGCTCCCTTGCTTGCGCTGCTGTACATTACCAGCCTGCTGTTGTACATTACCAGCCTGCTGTTGTACACATGTAGTTTGGCAGGAGGCGGTTTTCCCTCTCCCACAACGTTCTCCTTATTGGTGCCTAAGGCTCTCTCTTTGCCAGAGTTTCTGTGGGTTAATCATGTTCAAAATGTGTCCTCCAGTCACCACGGAGTATCCCCGTCTTTTTCCATGCAGTGAGGAGCATCGTTCTTTGGTTTGAAATTCCTGAACGCAAACAAACCATTGACTGAGGCTACACTACTCTGGCCTGAGAGCTCTGTGGCATTGTTGTATTTTGAGTTTCACTTCGTCTTGGGGCACCAGCTCCTTTTAATAAAGTTGTCTATATGGTGCTGGATGTCCTTCCAAAACTTGTTGTATGCCCTCCAGGTTAGTTAGCTTCATTTGTAGGCTTCATTGTTTTTAACTTTAATTCTGAGCATTTTGTGGCTTATGGTACTTTGGAAAACTGTAAATAATGACTGAAAGGCAATAATGAATAGAATTATTACTGCTTATTGTAGTAGTGGTGGTAAATTTAAAGGCTTGTGTATAGATTTCTAAGGCAGCCAGGCTGCTGATTTCTTTGCTAAGTTCAAATGAATCCAGGTATGAAAATATAACAGATTAATAACTGATTTTTCCATGAAATGTTTGTATGCATAATTTATGCGGACATTTGTGCCTATGAACTGTTCGTAAATGACACCCACTACAGGAAATGAGAGCAAATGTTTTTACAAGTAATCCTTGAAGCTCAGAGGACATCCCTAACATGGCCTTTTCATAGTACACAGCTCTGACCTTGAACACCGACTGTCCAACCACCTGCTGTTGAAATCCGTTTTCACATACAGACAGTCAGAAGTAATCGGGTTTGGGGCCATGGTTTAACTCACCAGGTTGAGCAGTTGGCCCATTTGCTGTCGAAGTGGCCCGGGTTTAAATCTGTGTTGCCTTTTGTTGTGTTGTCCTCCTGCTCTCTCTCTCACAGCTTTCCTGTTAAGGTAAAGACTAAAAGAGTCCCAAAGTATTTGGAGAAGAAGGCTGTTTCAAAGAGATTGTGGAGTTGAGTTTAAAGATCGTTTATCAGACAGAGGATGAACTGAGGTGACTCACCATGTCAAACCTGTTTTAATTCAAATGTAACATTTTCCAAGAATTGTTTCTTAAAATATTTCATAAAATCGAATATTTAAATATGTGATTTGTGATCATAAGAAGACATTTTGTTCCAGTAGTGGTAAAGAATTTGTTTTTCTAAGGATGTTTTGTTGTGGGATGACTGCTCCAGTCGTCATTGTGTGGGCGAATGCGTCTTTCTGTTGATGGCTGCAGATTGTTCTGACTAACAGAGGATCAATGTCTCAAAGGTTGATTTGTTGTTTGTGTGCTCTGCAGGACACTGACCTGAGTTCAGCTCAAACCGCACAAATCTGCCTGTGTGAACACTCACGGCTCTACCTGGTCAAGTAAGACCCAATGCTTAATTTTATTCTTCTTCTGCTATAACAGTGAAATATGCATATGGTAGACTAGAGTAGAATATCGTGTTTGTGATGCCACACAGCAAACATGCTTTAGTGAAGGAAATGTCTTATTTTAAAAATGTTGATGATCGATCGATGATTGATAGGGAAAATGTTTCTGGTTGTTTTGAACTTTACACACTTGTGACTTTATGCTATCCTTGTATTCAGTATTGATGTTTAAAGAGTATATTGTATTTTTGTTGATCCTGGCTGCTGTTTTTAGTTAATGCTCGACATGTTCCTGGTGTTTTGTGTTAGTTTATTGGCTTTGGGATTATTTTAGTTCTCTCTTAGATTGCGTTTTGTCTCTGTGCTAGCAGTGTTTGGAAAGTTTGTCTAAAAGAGCTGACGGTGGATAGAAGATCCGGCTTTGTACAAATGAGCAGTTGAAGATGACAAAGATGGAAGGAACTCTATTCTATTTGTCTTGTTGTTATTCTAATAGTGTATGTTCATTCTATAAAAGACATACAAAATAATAGATCAATGGAAAAGTTGGTATATACATCCATATATGTACATACAGTACATCAAAAAACTATATTCCAATCACAGAGTCCAAAACTACAGTTCAATTAAATTTTGTTTGTATAGCACCAAAGGTGAAGACCCTACAAGAATATAGAGGAAAAAAAAGAGAAAATCCCAACAATTAAATGAACCCATATAAACAACCCCTTGGTGACACTGGGAAGGAAAAACTCCCTTTTAACAGGAAGAAATCTCTGCCAGAACCAGGCTCAGAGAGGGGCAGCCATCTGCTGCGACCCATTGGGAGTGAGGGGAGGGAGACAGGACAAAGCCATGCTGTGGAAAAGAGCCAGAGATGAATAATAACTAATGACAAAAAGCAGAGTTGTGTATAAACACATAGTGAGTGAAGAAGAAACACTCCCCCAGCAACCTGACTATGGGAGGATTCAGGGTCACCTGATTGAGCCCTAACTATATGCTTTATCAAAAAAAAGGAATATTTTAACTCAATCTTAAAAGTAGAGAGGCTGTCTGTCTCCTGAATCCAAACTGAGAGCTGGTTTTAGAGAAGAGAGGGCTAAAAGCTGAAGGCTCTGCCTCCCATTCTACTTTTATATCCCATAGGAACCACAAGTAACCCTGCAGTCTGAGAGTGAAATGCTCTATTGGGGTTATATGTAATATGAGGTCTTTTAGAAAAGATGGGAATGATTATTTAAGACCTTGTATGTGATGATAAGGATTTTAAATTTGATTCTGGATTTAACAGGGAGCCAACAAGAGAACCCAGTATGGGAGAAATATGCTCTCTCTTTCTAGTCCCTGTCAGGACTCTTGCTGCAACATTTTAGATCAACTGAAGACTTTTCACAGAGTTTTTAGGACATCCTGATAATAATGACAAATGTCCAGCCTAGAAGGATTAAATGCACAAACTAATTTTTCAGCATCACTCTGAGACAGGATATTTCTAATTTTAAAGATGTTGTGCAAACTGAAGAAAGCAGTCCTACATATTTGTTTAATATGTGCATTGAAGGACATTTCCTGGTCAAAAACAACTCCAAGGTTTCTCAGAGTGTTACTGGAGGCCAAGATAATGCCATCCAAAGTAAGTATCTGGTTAGACACTGGTTAGATGTTTAGGGGTTTTGTCTTAATTTGGAAGCAGGAAATTAGAGTTCATCCAGGTTTTTATGTCTTTAGGATTTTCTTGCAATTAAACTAATTGGTGTGTGTTATCTGGGCTCATGGATAGATACAGTTGTTTGTCATCTGCATAGCAGTGAAAAATGCTATGCTATGCTATGCCTTTGATGTTACTGCCTAAGGGAAGCATGTTTAATGTGTACAGAATTGGTCCTAGCACTCAACCCTGTGGAACTCCATAATTAACCTCGGTGTGTGAATAAGACTCTCCATTTACATGAACAAATTGGAGTCTATTAGATAGATATGGTACAAACCACTGCAACGCAGCACCTGTAATACCTGCAGCATGCTCTAATCTCTGTGATAAAATATTATGGTCAACAGTATCAAACTCTGCACTGAGGTCTAGCAGGACAAGCACAGAGATGACCCCCACTGTCAGAGGCCATAAGAAGATCATCTGTAACCTTCCCGAACTGAAACTCTTCAAATAAAACATTCCTATGCGTATGATCAGTTAGCTGTTTTACACTCTTTCAAGAGAGTTATCTACTGTTGATTTCATTCTGACTTATGAAAAATGCACTCAATTGTATGTGGTAATAAAAAGGTCTTGTGCTTGAAATTGGCAGACTTCCAATAAAAACTTAGAAAACTGAAGTCAAACGGACTGAGCTGCAATATTATAAGCTCACTTCTTGCTCGTCCTTTTTCCAGGATGAGGTTTGCCGATTGCCTGTTGGTTCTGGTGTTCCTGCCATTCCTCTCTGTTGCCATCGCTATAGACATCTGCTCTGCCAAACCCAAGGACCTCTCTCTGGAGCCATACTGTGTCTATCGCAGCCCTGAGTTCTCTGACGGACCATCGCTGGAGGCAGTCCCTAACTTCACCAATCCCCGAGTATGGGAACTGTCAAAGGCCAATGGACGCTTTGGTCTGTCACTGTACAAACAGCTGGCTCTTGGCAGGAGCCCCGAGTCTAACATCTTCATGTCCCCCATCAGCGTCTCCACCGCATTCGCCATGACCAAACTCGGAGCTTGCAATGAAACGCTGAAGCAGATCATGAAGGTGAAATGCTGCATCATTGTGATCCTTTAGTTGTAGATGAAGACAACCGCACCCCCACCCCAAAGCTTTTGTCAAAATTTTCCCAAGTGCTTTTTTAACAGACAAAGGGATTTTCAAGATAGCATTTTGAATCATAAATCATTTCTGTTTGCACACAATATTAAAATAATTTCAGAAAAAAAACAAAATTTACCAGTATTGGTAGGTCTTAACATCCAGCTTTATGTGAATTAAAATGATCAGCGTGCTAAAACAGAGCTTTTCCCTATTTTCT